CTCTTTTGCCGGCCTGATAATGCCAAGCGCTAACAAAGTTAACCCGCGCGAGACTCTCTCGCCTCTAGAAGTCGTTTCTTCTCTCTTCCCCGTCTGTTCCGCCGCTCTCTCCTCCCCTCCCCCTTCCCCTTTCCCCTCTCCTTCCCTCGGGTGCTCCTTAGTCCTCCTCCGGTTCCTCGTTTCGTTTCTCGACCTTTAACGTCTCGCGAAGGAGCCCGATTCTCCCTTTCTCTCTCTCTCTCTCTTTCTCTCTTTCTCTCTCGTTCTCCGCTCAAATGAGGTGGCGGACACACGCGATTACGAGGGACCTCTCGCGAACGACGTCGGCCACCTCTCCGCGCCGTCCGGGATCCGCGCAACAGCGGATCGCCGGCGCGTCGATCGGCGACGCGTGACGATCCGCCGCGGCTGAGGAGGAGACAGACCGCGACGCGTCTCTCGCGCGGCAGCGCGAACCGCAAAGCCGCAAATTAGCTCGTAAAGCGCGCGCCGAAAGTGGCGCGTCGACTGTCAGCGAGTCGCGCGAAAAGAATATGCGCGAGAAAGGAAACGGATTCCCCGGCTACCGCCATGGGAATCAGTCTGATTTCGGTGGAAGCGGGGCCGAGGGAGGAAGCTTCCTCAGTGGTAGACACGGCCGTGTACGAGTGTGTTTGTATTCCGCGATGTATTCCGTGGGCGTACGGAGAGAGAGCAGTTTATTCGATAGATTCCCCGGCCGTCACGCGAGATTCTGGGAAAAGCCGTTTCGCGCGTCTGGAAGCCCTTTAAGCTGTGAGCGCGCAGGGCCGGTCCGCCGCGCCGGCCAGGACGACGCGTGCGTGCGCGCGCGCGCGTGTGTGTGTGTGTGTGTGTGTGTGTGTGTGTGTGTGTGTATGTGCGTGTGTGTGTGTACGTGCGTGTGTTAATAAAGGCCTCCGACGTAACCGATCGTTATTAGATCGGGCACTCCCTCGACCCCGCCGCGCCTATAGGCCGCCCCTCGCAATAACCCATAAAATGCAACATTTTGTTTCGTATGCCAATTACCCCCTCCACGGAGCGCGAATATACCCGGCGAATATAGCACTAAGCTCGCGTCTGGTCTCGCTCCGATCATCCTCCTCTTCCTCCTCCTCCTCCTCCTCCTCCTCCTCCTCCTCCTCCTCCTCCTCCTCCTCCTGCTCCTCTTCTCCTTGTCTCTCCCTCATAAGAATAAGGTTTTAGGAAAGATGGCGGCAGTACTTAAACACAACATGAATTGAAGCCTCCTTCGCCGCCTCTCTTTCCGCTGAAACTTTCATCCTTCGGAGCAAGGACTCGCCGTGGATTCGTCTGCCTTTTCGCACGGTCCGTCGATCGTTCGATCGTTCGACCGTTCCGCCGCGAGCCGCACGCTGATGTCGACGTCCTGCCGACGTCCTCGTTCGCGGGCGACCGGGCCGATTGCGCACGGACAGACGGACGTGTGTATGTGTGTGTGTGTGTGTGTGTGTGACGGACGCGTGTGCTGCTGCTTTTATCATAAAATCTCGCACTCGCCGTTTCCGCGGCCGCCGCGCCGCGCTGCGCCGCGCGGGATTATGTGCCGCGATAGTACATAACGCCTGTACGGCAGAGCGAATGGCTACTTTGGCTCGTTGAAGGCAGCCTGCGATGGCCACTGTTGCTCCTCGCGGTACTACTTCTCGCCACCACTACCACTCGGACGAGACGCGGCATGGCGCGGCATGGCGCGACGGCGGCCGTTATAAAAATAACTGCTGATTGGACGCCCTACCAAGAAAAGTCGTAATCGCATCCTGAAACGTTGCCCCTCCTCACCGCCCTCCTTCTCTCTGTCTGTCTTTGTCTTTCTCTTTCTCTTTCTTCCTCACCGCGTCGCTCTTTCTCTCTATACTCTTTCTCTCTCTCTCTCTCTCTCTCTCTCGCTCTCTCTCTCTCTCTCTCTCTCTCGCTACCCTCGTGCTCTTTCTCTCCTCTTCTCTTCTCTCTTTTTCTTACTTCTTTATCTTTCGCGACATTCATTCCCGTTATTAACGTCTCGGCCTCTATCGTCAGTCTCGTATCAAAAGAGTATCGCGCAGAGAGAGAGAGAGAGAGAGAGAGAGAGAGAGAGAGAGAGAGAGAGAGAGAGAGAGAGAGAGAGAGAGAGAGAGAGAGAGAGAGGGAGGGAGGGTGGGTTTGCGTCACCCAGGGCGAGTCCTCCGGAAGTGAGTTTCTTCCTCCGCTTCGACGATTCCCGTATCCGATTCCTCCGATGTTACGATCCACGTCAGCTGTCGGAGGACGTACACCGTAATTATCGTGATACATCCCGACGAAAGGAACCGCTTGATTTATCTCGCGAGGGTGAAGTGGGAAGAAATTCGAGCGTGCAGTCAAGTACATCTGAAGAGTCTCACGAGGCACTTCGGCTCCGGACGCGGAGGGCGAATGACGATCCCTGACGACAGAGCGCGTCGCGTCATCCATCGATTGCGAGGATTTTCCCGAGGATGGCGGTCCCGCCCGACATCGACGCGAGGGATGAGACGACGAAGGAAGGAAGGAAGGACGATCGGTCGCCATTTTGTGCAGTCTTTATCGCCGCGCCCTACATAGGAACATTAAGCGCGGGTTGCCAGGTTGCGCGTATATCAACAATAATTGCAGGGCCAATAATAAAGCCGAAGGGAGCACGCTCGATAGCCCGAAATTGCTGGTTCCCCTACCTCGAGCCGCGCAGTTTTATTGCCTCCTCTCTCGTCGGCAGGAATGGCGGCAGCCCCCTTCATCGTCCTCGATGGCGGATAAACGATCCTGCGATACGGCGCACCGCCGCGCCGCGCCGCGCCGCGCCGTGAACGCGCGCGCTTCTCTCCTCCTCATTGCCCCTATCTCCTCCGTGTGCTGTACACCGTGTGTGTGGGTGTGGGTGTATGTGTGTGTGTGTGTGTGTGTGTGTGTGTGTGTGTGTGTGTGTGTGTGTGTGTGTGTGTGTGTGTGTGTGTACGCACGTGAGTATCAGTACCTGCGTCTATGTTCGCGCGCGCATATAACGTATTCCCGCACCGAGGCGTCTCGTACGGAATCGTTCGAGAGCTCGTAAAGAGCCGCAAAAGCGGGCTCCGCACGCGCGATAGTCGCGAGTATTGCCCTTGTTAACGCCCCGTTAACTCGAGCCTCTGGACAAACTCGTAAAATTCAGCGGGCCCACGGAAAGCGCAACGGCGGCCACACCGGCGGCGCACCGTCGTCGGGTTTCTCGCGGGACAGGGGAGGGGGAGGGGGGGGTAATCCCGAAGTGTCGCGCGAAGTCGAACGCGCGACGGATAAGAAATTGCGCGTGTCGCGCGGTAACACGATAACACGTCCGCTAGTGTCCGGCTGTAACGGTCAATTGGTGGACGACGAGGATAGAAATATTCGTCGCGGACACGTGCGAGTGTCCGAGGGATCCGCGTGAGTGTGAGTGTGAGAAATCCCGGGGACGCGGGACGCAGGAGTTCGCGGCGCGCGACTGTGTTTGGCATGTCATGTCACAACGGATCGTTCGTTCACTCGAGACACGTCGCGCTTCTCGCTCGCTCGCTCGCTCGCTCGCACGCGTATTTATGCGCGACTCTAAACCTCAGATTACGCCGACTCGAAAGCTCGTAAAGGCCCGTTTACGTTTACGTAGTTTAAGCGCACGATAGTCGCGCGCGCGCGCGCGCGTGAGTATTGCTGCTCTTGTTAACACCCCGTTAACTCGTGGCTCGGGCAACCTCGTAAAATTCGACGGCTCACCGCCGCTACCATAGTAGGCGGCGGCGGCGGCGGCGGCGGTGTGATACGCGTACGAATTAACCGAACAATTTCTCCCTGTCCGCTCGAGTGTGCTGTTGCCCAACGAGGAGGGATATATTCCCCGCGCGTTACACGCCAATCACCGTGCGTTACGCACTACTCGTGTTGTATCCCCGCGATTCTCCCGCGTCTATCGTCTCCACCTTTTTTCGCGCAGCCACAATTCATTTGCGGTGCGCATAAATTCTCCCGTCGTCGCCGCCGCCGCCGCCGCCGCCGCCGCCGGGCCGGCATTCCTCGTCGGAATCCACAGACATGCAAATTTAACTATTGATCGATCTTGGCAACCGTTGCTTTAACGTGACGCTCGACTCGTGCGAGAACTCGTAAAAAGACGCGCCGGCGGCCGTGCGGGTCGATAATTTTCAATACGATACCGCGATAACAACACGGCCACGTCGATGTGCCCCGACGTCGAATTTTTCGCTCCGTACCTCCGTCCGCCTCTTAATGCGCTGCACTTCCCTTCTTTCTTTCTCTTTATTTGTTATACACCGGCGCGATACACCCTAAAGGAGATCGTAAAAGACAGCGCCGCGCTCGCGTGATCGCTGCGAATTCGTTATTGCTCTTGTTAACGCCCCACGCTCCCCAGGCTACCCCTGGACAAACCTCGTAAAATTCAGCGGTTTTACGCTAGTCGTACCTCAAGACGATCGCGAAATTCGCCCCGGCCGGCCGAGATCACGCTACGGATAAGGGATCGTGCCGCACCGTCTTACCCTCGCACTTGCACGCACTATATATCCGCCATTGATTGACTCCTCGAGAACTGCGCGTGCATTTGCCTGTGTTATTCATTCGGTTCTGCCAACGTCGACAACGTACCCCACACAGCTTAGAGCCTAGCGGCCAGTCAACGTCTCGAATGTTGACTGAAACAACTACTATCGCAGCCGTGTCGAAAAGGGTAACGAGGGAGAGAGAGAGAGAGAGAGAGAGAGAGAGAGAGAGAGAGAGAGAGAGAGAGAGAGAGGGAGAGAGAGGGAGAGAGAGAGAGAGAGAGAGAGAGAGAGAGAGTCACGACTACATTGCCACGGGGAAAAAGTAGAATCTCCGCGTAATGAATTTCCACGAAAATTGAACGGCTCTCCTGATAAGGTCGATCCGCCGGGGCATTCAGACTGTTCAGACTGCGCCGCGCACCATGGGCGTCGATTAAAAAATTAATGAGCTTCTTTCACCCACAGGCCAACCGATCAATCGCCTGCCCATTATGGCCAAGTCCGTGCTGGATCTATACGAGCTGTACAACCTGGTGATCCAACGAGGCGGTCTCGTCGAGGTAATCAACAAGAAGCTCTGGCAGGAAATCATCAAGGGTCTCCGCCTGCCATCGAGCATCACTTCCGCCGCGTTTACTCTGCGCACTCAGTAAGTAGATCGTGAAGTTTCTCATCCGGGACCCCGGTCGCTCGCTGTAATTCGCATACAATAAGTCTAGCCGGGCTCATCCGAGCGTGAAATCTGCGTCAATGACTAAGGGCGTCGTGACTTTTGCGCACACCCTCCTCCTCCTTCTCTCCCCTCGGCCGGGAGAGATCCCCGAATCGATCGATGATTGTTGTTGATGACAAAAGTGCGTGGCAAGAAAGGTGATTACTTGAGCAGTAGTTATCTCTCTGGCGAGAAATCTTTTCTTGACGATGGCTTTAAGATACACAGTTAAAAACATTTCGTACTTTTGTTAAAATTATTTGTGTGTAGAAAGTTTTGTGTTAAATTTTCTACACAGTCGTGTGTTAATTTAACATATCGTTGTTGCGTTACCGAGACTTTTTTGTGTGAAATTAAGATTATCTATTTTCAAGTGTTAAAATGACATTTCCAGGTATTAAAATAACACAATTTGTATGTAAGTGCATGAATTCTTGCTATGACATATTTTGTATGTTGAAGTCAACACCTAAAATGTGTTACTTTCCTCATTATGACAGTTATCTTGTGTTAAATGTATAATGTTAACATTTCTGGTATGTGAAGAGTGGATTTTTAACACATAGATCATGTCAATCTAACATTTTCATTTCATTAAATCATAGATCGTTACTTTTCCCAAATGTCGAAGTAACATTCATTACGAGTATATATGTCAATTTAACACAAACTGTGATGATTCTTGACGGCATTCAAATGTTAAAGTTTTGTGTTAATTTTTTACGTATTACGCGTGTCATTTTTTAACATATTTGCTGTATGTTAAATTAACACATAAATGAGAGTGGATGATTTGAGACACGTGAAATATGTTAAATTTAAAACACATCATTTCTTACAGTGTATGTTCAACGCGAATTTCAGAAACGCTCATTTTCACGTGCTGCAGAGAGAAGAAATTGATTCTCTTCTCGAGAACGTTGTAAACTTGTATTCTAGGAAGCGGAAACCAAAGTTCTGTCTCGATTTATTATTTTCCTTCCAATTAAATATTCTTGTTTTCGGAGTACTGAAGTTCAGAGAGTGTATAAACTTCGCCTGAAACGCTTGAAACAAGTTTACTCGACAGCAGCATACATTTTCCTACGTGAACGGTCAAGGTCCTTTAAATCCCTTCAGCCGAGGGCTCAAGTCCAGTCGATCGAGCTGTCTGTATCCTGTAAGAGTGACACGATTCTTCGCGCTCAAAGCAGCCAAATCTGTCGGATGTACATCGCCGAGCATCCATTTCTCATCATTCCTCGACGCTACTCGAGGCGTCCTTGCGATTATGGATTCTACATCCCTCGCGGACTCCAGCACACACACACCCTTGCCATCAAGCTGGCCGTGCGATATCCGGCGGTAAAAGTCGAGCGCGCGCGGAATTTGCGAACCGGATTGCGGGACCGGAGATCTCGCAAACTCCCGCGGACGCCTACCGTCTGCAAAGAGACGAAACACAAGCGGGGACGACGGCAAAGTCAGAGGCGTGACATACAGGTGCATCGTCTTAGCCGACGTTGTCGTCTCAGCCCCCGTCGCGATCATGAGAAGGACACATCAGCAGGATGGTTGTGACAACCTGGAACGCTCTCCTCCCCCCTCTCTCGCTCTTTCCGTTGGCACGATATATATTCGTTTATATAATACCGAGAGAGCAGCATATTCAGCGTGGCGACGAAGATTTATCTGCCGTTCGCGGTGTCTCGTCTGTCTCGGAAGGAACGGAAGAGAAGAGCGAACGTCTCTAAATAGAGATTCGTCGCGCGGGATTCGGAGAGGCGACGGGACGAGGCATCCCGGCCACGTTGTGAAGGAGAGACGTCGTCTCGGAGGAAGTACGAGAGAAGAAAATGGGAAAGGGGAAGGACGAAAATGCGAGCGCGAGGGCAGATGGCTGGAGGGAGAAAGAGGAAGAGTGCTAGACTGGGGGACAGAGGGGGAGGGAGAAAGAACACCGGGGACACATTATAAGTAGTGCGGGCTAATATGAATTACACGGGCGCGATGCTAGGGGGTGCTCGTGAAAATAACTCCGCACGACGCTTTGTGCGTGTGACGTGCGACAGAACGTCGCGCGACGCGACGCGACGCGACGCGTCGCGGCAGGCGCATCCATCATTCCGGCAACCGGCTATCTCTCCTCTCGGCGATATACGCGAGATTGAGCCGGAGATACGAAAATATAGTCTCGGCCGTGGCGAGATGCGTCCGCGATAGAATTTATCCGTTAAGGGCGCCGTCGATTGACTGAAATTGCGGCCCGGTCGTTTCTCTCGTTCTCCGCCTCTTCTCGGAAACGGGGTTTCAATTTACGATCGCCGTGATTTCCGCGCGAATGGGAATTCCCGTCGGAAGCGCGGAACCACCGACGATTCGGAGACGATTCGGAGATCTCGATGAAACGATCGCGCCGCGTCTTCTTGCTTAATAAAATGTACAGCGTGTGTAATCCGAAGGTGGTTTGCGCCGAAGACGCGCGCGCGTGCTTCCCTTCTCCTGCTTGATAATTTAATTAGCAAGCAGGAAGGAGAGTTCCAGAGACGCGAGAGGCGCCGAGTAGTGCCAGAGCCGTTCGAGTCGAGGAACTCGTCGAAAGCGAACGCAGAGAGACGAATCGGACTGAAAAGAACTGCGTTTTATCGGCGGTTTGTCGGACGAATTGTAAAAATTGTATCGACGTGAAGGAAAGCACAAGTTCTGGACATGAACACTCGTTGGCGTATATATATTTCGAAGGAAGTTCAGACTATGACAATGTCTCAAAAGATAACTGTTATTTTTCTGAAATGTCTCGAATCAACCGACGGTGTTCGAGAGGAAGATGGTCGACAGCGAAAAGCTTGTGACATCTTCCAATTTCATGAAATTCAGAAAAGTCGCCTCATCCGGCCGAGCTGCTAGATGTAATGCAAACAAAGCCTTTGACGAATGTCATGTTTGCAGTAAATTTAGTTGCGATAAATGTATAAGAAATATCACGAATAAAGAAAAATATACATAATTTGCGTTGAAAACGTTAATGCAATAAGGGCCCAGTAGGACGAAAAATTTATACAAATGTCATCTGTGTTTTATTTTTCCGCGACTTAGCTTTCGAAATGATAAAAATTCTGCTTTTGTAACTTTGATGCGCCCAAGATAGAAACAATTTATTTCTGAAGCAATACATTCGTATTAATCAAACAATTTTTTGTGATGTGTTATAATAACATATATTTTAGAGCAGCGGTCAAAATGATGACCGCTATGGCAGTCGTAGGAGACAAAACATGTCGGTAGTCCTAGTGTTAACTTCTTCTACCTTTACCTATAAGTCTCTACCTCCAGAAACTTTCGGTAGAAGCTTCACCGAAGCGATATCACACGCGGAATTCACGCACATGCGATATAAAATAATTATCCCGCCAATTTCATTCTTGTCTTAACGCGCAGCTGTGCTCTTGTTTTTTCGCAGATACAGAAAATACTTATACGACTACGAATGCTCCAAGGAGCATTTGTCAACCCCGGAGGAGCTCCAAGTGGCTATCGATGGGAACCGTCGCGAGGGCCGTAGAAGCAGCTACAGCACTTATTCAGGTAATGGACCCAGCGAAAACTCGATGCCTCGTTCGCAGCACATTGCGAATCCGCTGGCATTGGCGGCACCGCAAATCACGCTTCCTCTGATAGCTGCGGGTGGACATCAGCATCACAGTATGCAGCTGAACGGGAGCTCCGGCCACAACCCGCTGTCGCATATTCACCTGCCGCCCCAGGGGAATCCACTTAGCCAGGGTGGCAATCCCAGTGAGTGTATTTTCGACTACTTGTACAGACAATCAATCGTGTGTAGACGAGCAAAAATACGCAGAATGCACGCGAAGGGTCCGCATCGAACACGTCGCACACGCTTGCGCTCGTGCACCTTATTCTTTCGCGGAGAACAGACTTTCTAAGTGGAGACTGATGTAACGGTGATCGATAACGCTTAAAAGTTACACATCGTGATACACGGATCGCGGCACGCAGGTGGAATTTCATCATTTCTACAGTCCCCTCGCGTTAAGAAGAAGAAATTCCGCACGAACAGTGGCAAAACGATAGGTTACCTCTTCAGCGTTATTGTTTACAAAGTTGCACTAACATAAAATGCTCTCTAGGTACTGTAGTATGTTTTCTTTTTTCAAGCGAAAAATTCTTTCGAGTTTAAGGCCAGGTCATACCGGTGTCTTGCAACGTTATGTAAAACAGAGGTAGATGCGCCGAAACCTCCACGGGGCAATTAAGATAGATAGAGAGGAGTCCGAAAAAAAGAGAGCGTAGAGATAAAAGGATGTTAGGATACGGGAAAGGGATAAAAACAAAAAGAGAAGTACAAAAACGCGCGCACAAAAAAGCGGGAAAAGGAAGTGAGGGAAAGTGAGAGAGAGAGAGAGAGAGAGAGAGAGAGAGAGAGAGAGAGAGGGAGAGAGGGAGAGAGAGAGAGAAAGAAAGAACGAGAGGGAAGGGGGAGCGGAGCGCGCGCGGGTTTATTTTAAATCGGTAGTTAGTGCTGCTTCGGGCCTCCCCAGAGATGATGATGCGAGAGCGAAGGAGGCGTAATTGATTGTACGATTCTCCGGAAGACAGGCGTTAACGGATGACTCTCGCTAACGAGCATTCCTATTTCCCTACCCTTTTCTTCTTCTCTCTTTCCACTTTCTCGCCGCCCCATGGTCCACGACGATCCGGATAAAACGTGGTCGCGTTTCGATCGTCGCATTCGTCGTCGTCGTCGTCGTCGTCGTCGTCGTCGTCGTCGTCGTCGTCGTCGATCGCTCGGCAAACGTTGATCAGATTGTTCTTCAGACTGTTATCGCGCGAATAATAATATGTTGATAACATCGGGAAGCACCATCCTTCGCGCGGTTTCGCACACACACATACACACACACACACACACACTTACGTTTCACGCGCTCGATTTACTGTATGTGATTTAATGTATTCAGATACACCGAATTCATTGTGCGCACTTGAGTTTCCAAAATGTAACGAACGTTCACAGACAAGTCCCCGGTGGAGACTCTCCCGATTTGCTCGATTGCCGCATGCATGCTTGTGGGTCCGCAACGTTATCGAATCTCACGCCCTTGTCGCGCGTAATGCGCGACGTCGTCCGCAGTAAATTGGTCCTCGATCAACTGAAGTGTCACACCCATACAAAATGTTCAACAAATATGCAGTATTCAATGACATCGGTCGATGGAGCGCAGCCAATATGAGCGAGACGTCGCTATGTTAATTTAACACGCCACAGATGTGCCGTTTGACCACTGATTTGGAGAGATGAGATTGGCGTGTGTATATATATATATATATATATATATATATATATATATGTATATGTAACATCAAATATTAGTCACCTCTTGTTTACATACACACATGAGACAGAGACATACAAAGAGTACACACATACATATGCGCACCAATTCACGTTAGTGTTGTTCGGTTTCTTTAATGTCTTGATGATCCTCGACTATTACTACAAGGTAATTAATAATATTGGTACTTTATGTTAAAGAGAATACATATATTTGATGTATATTTAACATACATTTAACGAGAGATCTGCTGTTTTTATTTTTATATACTTGTTGTTGACGGTTAGATAAATTTTGATTTCGATCTCGTTGCAAAAAGAACAGTATGGATCACACGGTAGCAATGATAACGATGACGGCGATGATGATGATGTTGATAATGATGATGATTATGATGATGATGATGATGATGATGATGATGATGATGATGATGACGACGACGACGACGATAATATTTCTTTCTGGCTTCGCGTAAGTGCCGAAAACTGTGAAACTCGGTATTCACCTAGCAATCGCTCGCAATTGCCCGGTGATACGTGCGAGTCAGTTAGACACACACAATGATCACGTGGTTGAGGATCACGCCAATCTGGTTCGTATCTTTCCAGTTCAAAGTCCATTACATGGCTTGGCACCTTCGACCGACGTCATGCTCGAATATTTTAAGCTGTTCAATTTACCGACAAAGGAAGACGCGGGTACACCATCGCCGTCAATGCATCGGCAAAATGCATGCATCGGTAATGGGTCTCCGGGGGCGTCATCGCCACCGCGGGACAACAACGGATCCAACGCTATGGAGGTAATAAAGTCCTCATGGACGCTATACAATAGTATGTATGCAGGCAGGTCTCGGCAGTTGACCTCCTCGCCGCCGCGGAATCAAGCGCCGCGGTCCCCGGTGAGAGTCCGTTCGCCGATTCCAAGACCCCGTTCTCCGATGCGACGACAGCGCTCGCCGTTACGAAGATCCCGCAGTCCGGAACCGCAAGCTTTAGACCTGGTTCGGTGAGTAGATACGCAGGATCTCTCTTTTGTTCGCGAGCCACGCTTGTCTTACATCGGTTTTCATGTCCGCAGATCGCCGGGACGTTCTCCTGCCATACAAAGCCCGCCATCCCTGCCTGGCAATACCATCATGATGGGTAGGCACCAACAGCACATGTCAGGAATGCCGAGCCATTCCTCTGTAGCGAGAACACAGGACGAGGATAATATGCCTAATAACTTCATCACGATCAACTGCCAATCCACACGAAGTAAGCAATGGGTCTATAATAGTCTCCGTTGTTTTAAAAACGTTTGTTGAAAAATGCACTGCGCGCCTTGCTTGTATCACATGAAATAGCAGAGAAAACAGCAGGATATTTACCTTGCTCGCTTAACTTATTTACTAACGCGCAGCCCGCGGTGACAATTGCTCAGAATGGAATATATTTTCGTCTATCGCGCAGAGGTATCAGTTAACTATGCGACACTTACACTCCAGTCACACTATTTTCATTATATTACGTGAAATTGAATGAATTAGAAACATTTCTCTTTATTCTATTCGAACATATTGTCCATTTATAAACATGAGTGTTACAACCATTGATTTTATAAGAGTTGTTATAAAACAGAATTTTAAATCTAATCTCATATTTGAGCGTTTAGTCGATGTAAGGAATTGTATTAATCTATATAAATCGAAGAAATTTGTTCAAAATATATATATATATATGTGTGTGTATATAAACTGGTATACCGCTGTAATAACATTCGTAAAACACGCTACTTTGTTCTATAATACTTAAATAATAGAAAAATATAGAGTATACAAAATTTGTATTTCACCGTAATGAGAGAACTAATTGTCTCCTTTTTATTACTTTTTCAGGAAACGGCGCTGGTTCTCTGTCAATTTGCGCAACTTTTGGCGGTATCGTCTACGAGGGAATTCTGTTACCTCGAGACGGCAACGAATCGCCATCACAGAGAGCGACGCCCGAGAACACTCCGTGAAGAGCGTCGCACAGCAAGAAATCTCCGTACGACGCGAAATAACGTCGCGCAAATCAAAGGCACATCATCAAAGGCGTCGTACGGAGTCATATTCATCTCCTATGGCTTAAAAAATCTACCGTTGATAATGTCATCTTGCAGATAGAAATTTATAGTTAAAAAGAATAACAAGACAATAGAATTCGATCTTGACTACGCCCACGATATTGTTAGGTTTTAACTTGTTTTTTATTTTTACCTCAGACGCAAGAAACTCCCTTATTACGTATACGACTGATCTTTTTAACTTTAGTAAGTTTCTGTCTGCGAGAAATAACATTATTGCTAGTTTGGCCAGAAAGCAAAGAAAACGGTTCGGTTTTACGGGGGATGATTTGTATGTACATACTGTAAAATGAAATATAATGTGATACTAGATAAATTGGAAGAGAAGTTATGTTCAATGGACTCGAGTCATGTATAGTAAATAGATCATCATTCATCTATTTTAACAATTGCTCTAACTTTGGTTGCTAAGATATGATAGATGTTGAGCAGGATCTGCTTTAACTTGTTTATACAACATTTAAGTCCAGATTACTGATCGTTTACTGAACACTCGATTCTTTTGAACATGATGAGCATTCACGTGATATATATATATATATATATATATAGTATATAATAAAAGCATATATATAAGTATTTGTTTTTTTTATGTATATATATATATGATAAATATATACATATATACATACATGCACCTGCACCTGCATGCTATACCCCACATATATACATATAGTGAGAGGCGTATAGATATTGACATAATTTATACATTATGCGCATTGTCATACCCTCGTAATAATTCGAAATACAATAAAATAGATTCAATAAAATAGGAATACATTCTGGATGCGTATTTAACAGACATCCAGTGCCGCCAGTCTGCCGCGTCATAATCTATAAGATTTCATTAAATTTTCGTTAACGTTTTCCTTTCCTTTCAATTCACATATGTATGTATATAATTTGTATATATTGTCAGAATAAATACTTTTGTTCCGATAAAACGGCAGATTTCGCATTTCAGTATTTGCCGTTATAATCTGTTTCTAATTTTACCACCAGATATGTCATTTATTATTATATAGACATAATAAAAGACTGTTATATATAAAGTAGGACTAACTTCTTATTAACATTAAAAATATTAATTATTCACATGTCATTCACATTAAAATATGCGAAAGATAATGTTATTAATTATTAAATTATGAATGATATTCGTAATAATATCAATTATGATTATTACGGCGTCAATTGTATTTATATATGAATTATACAAATAACACCCATACAAATTGATCGTTATACATAATCATGAGCTATCATTCATTATTATAAAATTAATAAGAAGTTAGTATAACTATTAGTATAATTGTTATTACGTCCTGCTTTTAACGCGCACGCGTATAAATACATGTAATACGCGAAAAGATACAATAATTTAACTTAATCAAAAGAATCAAATTTTTATTTTGCATGTATCGAGAACGCAAGAGCTTTTCTTCTTTTTTTTGTTCTTTTACCAAATTTGATATTCATTTATAACAAAAGTTACTTTTGTGTAATGGACTACTCTCCATGTTTATCTTACGAAATTAATAAATAAAAAGATGAAATTTAGGATATTTAACAACCAGTATTTTAAACAATTAAATGTGACATACCTTGAGTAGGTATGTTGAATGTTATTAACAACTGTCGTTTTTAACACCTGATTACAATTCTGAATAATTTTATGTTATTGGGAATCGCAAAAAACTAGACAAAAGCAACAGTACTTTCACAGAGTGTCCAACCTGACTGCTTATTCTCGATCATGCGATTTAATAGCGTATTTTAATGTGTAAATCTTAACGTATTATGTGTACATATATATAATACATGTATGTATGTATATGTATATACATATACATATATGTGTATATATGTATATATCAGTTTAACGGTTAAGTATAAACTGTAAGAGATTGAATTTTTTATTTCTTAATGTAGAACGTAATTTCATAAAGCTAGTACAGGCCTGTCAAGGTGTAATCGAGGTAATGGCCACCGCCTCGTTTCCTGCACTATACTGCGGGAAGATCTGTGTACCATACATATGTGCACATAAAGCGCGGGACCGTCTTAGCTTTTTTTTTTTGTTTCATTTTCGGCAAAAGACACGACGCGTATAGGCTCGTGAAACTTGAACAGGCCTGCTTTATTGTAATAGAATTATGAATAAGCAAATACATGAAGACTGTACTAATCGTAATACTAATCGTGAATATATCATACGATTACATCAATTTATTTAGTTTCAAATATTAATCAAAAAATTCTTGATAATCGATGTTAATTTTTCCTTCTCTTCCGTACTTGCAAAGCTGTATTGTACAGATAATACAGACAATTCCTTTAGTTGTTCTCTCCCGACATTAAAGACAGAGCTCAATATTTGGAATTCATTTGACAGACATGTGTCAAAAACACCTTTGTCGTCAGTCTAAAGAAACAAAATTCCTTATAGTAATGTTTTCCACTCACCATATTTTCAATGATATATCTTGAAATATTTTTCATATACTCACTCCAATAGTTATAGGATGTCCAGCTTTGTACAAATATTTAAAATGATGAACCGCGTACGATGATACTGTTTTACATTTAATGTTTGATGTCAAGCATAATTCTAGAAATAGAGGAAAGTGCAATAATATAAATATAGACAGCTGATATTCGCTAAAATATTTATCCATAGTTTCCAAAACTTATTGCTTTTCATTTAGAATAATAAAAAAAAAATCGAAAATAATCTTATTATCATAATGTATTCCTATGAAGAATCCCTTACCAACAGGAATTTTTGATTGAAGTAACATATCAAACAATTGTTCGGAACCTTGCAAACTAGGATGAATACAAGTACAATGTCCCAATCGATCAGGTTTAAGTTTTAAGATATCTATTGTTTCTTTCTCATCTGGTATCTGCATACACATTATATAAGTATCCCAAAATATTATTTCTACTTAACATATTATCTATGAAAAAGTCAATATGTACCTCTGCACAATGAGCTGCAATTTTAAGGCCTGCTTTCTTAGCTATCACTAATAATTCTACAAAGGAACCTTCCACTGTTGGATCGCCACTAAGATCTAGACCGATAACATATTCTGGATATTTTTTCATAAATTGTATCGCGAAATTTACATTTTCTTTTGCAGATTCATAACCATACTTTCGATTGATCGATACTAATAATTTCACAAGGATCCGAGGACATTCAGATTTGGATGTCCTGCAAGATATATTAAAATGGACAAGAATAAAACAAGATTTAATTAGTATTGTAGAACATCTAAGTATTCTTACCCTATAGCTTTTATCATAGCTTCCAGATAATCTTCTTTTGTCATTGACCCCTCTACAGCACGAGGAGTGCTCCTCAATTCCAAATAGATAACATTATCTTCATAGAAGTCTCTTATTACATCACAAGTAGCGACAAATACAGCTTGTGGTGTAATTGTTAATGCATGTGCTACTTCAAATACTTTAAAACATCTGAAACAAAAAGATTAAATATATAATATATGTTCACCATGTATTACTAATAAATATCTCTTTCTCTTCCTTTTAAGCATCTTTAAAGTGTCTTATGAGGTAAGAAGAAAATATTCTTTCTTATTACTCGCTCAAGGATGATAAATTCCTGATATTCATAAATGTTTGATCACATGTAGAGATCTGGTCGTCTGACTGTTGCATTTTGTATAATTTTTGTAGAGTGTCCAAACTTAATGATCCGTTCAAATGAGCATGTAATTCCTAGATAAAAGAAAACTGTTAGTTAAATTTGCATTAAGATACAAAGTTACAGAGTTTAATAAGAGAGAACAGTAATTTTTATAAGATAAATGTAAGTAGTTTTATCCTTTTCATTAATCTTTTACATTTATTGATTATACATAACAAACAAAAATATGAATAAACACAAAAATACATACCACTTTGGGCAACTTGTGACAAAAATCCTGCATATCCATTGTGCAGAATACCTAATTAATGAGTATTAAATAAAAGATTAAAAAAGTTTAAATAGAAGCAGTAAAAATTTGGTCGTCTTTCCTTCCAAAACTTGATATACATTCTCTTCGTTTGAAATGTTTTCATCTTCCTACATGTGATCACCTCAGAAAGATTAGATAGAGTAGAAGGTTATACATCTCGTTAGATATGATCGAGACTAGTTATTCGTTATATGGACTGCATACATCAATGTCCATACGCCATTTCCCAGTAGTATGATGTAAAAAGAAAACCAGGAACAGCGCGTACGCAGTCCCCACGATCAAAAAAAGATGCGTAGTCACAAGAACCACGTCCAACCACCACGGAGGCGAACAAAAGACTCTGACCGAGAGCAGTAAGGCCCCTTGCACAATGCCAGGCAACAAGCAATAAGAATAAAAATAGACCAATCACAATCGACTATTACAAGAATAATCTATCGTGATTGGTCTATTTTTATTTTCTTATTGCCTGTTGCCTGGCATTGTGCAAAGGGCTTAATGGATGAAACATTGGATATAAAGCCAACGGCACACGGTGCTTGTTTTCGTTGCTGAATTACTTGCTAGATGAAAATACTGCGTTTTGACTGGTAGGGCCAGAGCACAGACTTCTGCAATTCAATTCAATTCAATTCAATAGATGGCTCTGGGCGTGTACCGCTCCAACGCCACTCTCCACAGACTTCTGCATAACGCATAATACCAGAGAAAAACCTGAAAGCGGCCAATACGGCATTTTCTGCGACACCGACTTTCCGCACTGGGAAAAGACGCCATCTGCATCCATTTTGAGAGAGGAACTACGATGCTACATCCACTCTCAGGTCTCGGTGGTAAAATCTGCATATGGTGGAAGTCCGTGCTACATCCACTTTCAGACGGCTTATATCCGTGTTGCATTATAAATATCCCGCGAGTCGACGAAATATCTGAACTTTTAAAAAAAGCATCAAAGAAAATCATGTTGATGTTGTCGTGGGTGAAATCTCACCCTGGTATATATCTTTTTTATTTTCGAAACAAAAAGAGCCAAACGAATGCAATTAAATGTTATTCACCATCATTGAATATTAGATGAAAAGTAGAAGAGTTTTATTGTCCGCAGCGGATAATCTAACATTTAATAAGAACGAGACAAAATTCGCATGGGATGAAATTCTACTCTTTAACGCTACCATGACCTTTAATTATTCTCCGAAAACGGCGTCGCAACAACTTTGACACACTGTACAATTAGTTGCTAACACATTTTCTAATCGTACACATTCCTCTTTAATTAACATAAAGTTAACAAGTGTTCGATGCTTCGACAGAATAATTTTCCTTATTTTCAGTAATCAATAAATGGTAAATCAATGTCGCGTACAGTTGAAAGGCCTCCTCGCATTCTCCTTGTCGTTCCGGAACCTTCGAGAAAAGAAAGAGAAAAGACGCCCAAGGGCAAGTCTCTCTTGCCTCAATGGCGGGCCGCCGAGGCCCGCAATGTTTACATCGCGAGCCGATTCTGTTGATCGGCTCGCGAGCGACGACACTTTTTGCCCTTCGTATTATAATACTCGCGCACCTCGTGTATTCGATCTCATTCCATCAACAGCAGCCGTGCGCGACGTGCTCGTCACTTCCGTCTGTAATTCAAAGAAATGTATCTCGTCGGTCCTCGAGATACTCAATCGGCATCGCGTCGGCGTCGCGTTGATTAACCGCACGATCGAATCGCGAGTATCAGCATCAGAAGCGTGAGTGAGTGAAATCCGGAGGACTCCAGCAGCCGGGAAGCAGGACGCCGGCCCCGATACGTCACGTTTTCAGGTATGTGGAATCATTTCTCATGTGGGAGGTCTCTGATAACGAGAGTGGACGTTTGACGAATTTTCCGGGAATAAGAAGTCGGAATTTCGCGCTCGGCATTCACAATCCGTCATTATCCGACTAATCCGAGTAATCATGACTTTATGAATATGCAATTACTCTCGTCAATCTCTGTCTATCTATTTATTGCGTTGTTGTATACAAGAGATATATTGATTCAGCCAGAGACGGATAACGGTCCATCAACGCGGATCTCTAATTCATTATGTTCTCAATTAAACATTCTGAATAATTACGAACTGTATGAATATACCGGTCTTGTGTAGAATATTATTCAACGTCATATCGCTTCTTAGACTGCGACCATTTTTGTTTTCGGTCAGCGCTTCTTTCAAGTTTACTCTCGTTACGGGATCTAAATTTAAGTGTCCATTCGTAAAAGAGTATTTTCGAGAGCACACAACTGTTGTCTCCGCTTCTTGTTGTCATCTTTTTTTCGTCAGCTCTTTCAAGAGCTCCAAGTCTTATCTAGACTTTCAATGTCAATAAAGAAAAAAAACCGTAGTGAATATTCTCCACTCATCCCGACCAAACATTCTTTCTCTACCGCAGCTTTACCAACCAAGAACGCTAAATTTTTGTTCCAGACGTTGCGGGAAGCAAGTCCAGCGGACGCGGATGCCGCACCGGAGGATCCGGTTCGGGCACAGCAGGGTCGGCCGGAAGGTAAAGTTTACAAGTTTCCTATATATCTGTGTTGAACTCTTTACAATCTTTGCCTTTGCAACTTGTTCCTCATCAGCTCTCTTGAAAGCTTCATGTCTCATTTAAATTTTCAATGTTGGAACAAAAGTATAAAGATAAAAATCTCATATCAAAATATTTCCGTATTTTCGATTCGTCCCAATCAAAGATATTTTCTCTCTACCGCAAATTATTAACTGGGAAAACTACTTTTCTGTTTCAGTTGTTATGGAAAGCAACAACAATCCGGCAGATGCAGATGCTGTACCGGAGGATCCGGTTCGGGCACAGCAGGGTCGGCCGGAAGGTAAAGTTTACAAGTTTCCTACACATCTGTGTTCAACCCTTTACGATCTTTGCCTTTGCAACTTGTTCCTCATCAGCTCTCTTGAAAGCTTCAAGTCTCATTTAAATTTTCAATGTTGGAACACAAATGTAAAGATAAAAATTCCGTATCAAAATATTTCCGTATTTTCGATTCGTCCCGATCAAAGATATTCTCTCTCTACCGCAGGTTATCAACCGAGAAAATTATTTTTCTGTTTCAGTTGTTGCGGAAAGCAACAGCATTCTAGCGGACGCGAATGCCGCACCGGAGGATCCGGTTCGGGCTAAGCAGAGTCGGCTTGAAGGTAAGTTTACAAGTTTACTATAGTCCTCTGTTTGACCTTTGGCGATCTAGAGCTGGGATATAATTTCCGGCTCGACTTGAATTACGATAGCAGAGGGTAAACTACTCTTTTACGCGCCCGCACTCGTTAGTACAAATCTGATGAGCGAATGTGAATTTTTTGTTACAGAATTGAAGCGGAACGTGGCCGGCTCTGACTGCAAGTCGTTTCGGTGAGTCAAAATGAAAAGAGAAACAAAATTCTGCATGACGGATGTGGGACTAAAAAATATCGTTCGAGTCAATGCGAATTGCAAATAGATACTTGCATGTGTGTATTTGTGACGTTGAATAAAATACATTGCTCGAAACAATCAGGGGATTACTTGATCGATAGCCTGCATTACATACAAGATTTAAAATACTGAATGATTCTCTTTTGATGTTCAGTCATCTGAATAAGAGAATATTCATATGTACAAACGCGACACCGACATCAGCTGCTTTATTTTTATTTTTCAAGCGGGCCGCAGAATTACTTAACGATTTAATTATTTGACAATATTCAATTGTCCGTATAAAATATATTCATACCTAAATGCCGATATCGTTAGCTACTTTTTTTCATTTGCAAAACAGGCTGTAGAATTATTTGGCAATATTGTCCATTCATCACAATCCCTATTGTCTCGAGTAGCGTATAATGCGCGTAGAAATTGCGCCAGCGCACGCCGAGCTTGAGGTATCCTCGCTCGCGTGCCTTTGAATATCGCGACCGCGGTTATCAATATACGCGTTTTTACTCGCGTTGCTAACAAAGAAAACTTAAATTCTCATTTCGCCAAAGTATCGCGAACGTAAGTTTCGTCGTGACAGAGCTGTAATGCGTGAAAACTTTGCCCCGCTCCTCTCTCTTTGCGCTCCCTAAGGGGGACCGGTTTCTGATTGTCTAATCTTTCCTCGCGTGCATTCGCGTCGCGAATATTTCACTCGTAGATATCGATAATCCCACATTTTCGCGACTTTTCAGACGCAATCGCGAAAAGCACCGTAAAAATCCGTTGGACGAGTCAATAAATTTTCACACGGTTCTTACTCCTCGCCGATCGAGTTTATAGAGTCCGTTTCGCAGCACGCAAAAAGTTTCCACCGATGGCGGGTAAAACGTTCGTTAATTGATGTAAATATCGCCGTTCTAATACCACGTATCGACTGCGTCGCGGAAGTGTGATGAAAGTATAGCGATCACCGTGGGACGAGTTGCAAGATGGATGTTGCGCGACATGGAGAGCGGCAGCGGACATGGGCGGACATTGGTGGATCTGGTTGGATGCAACAGGACATCATCAATATCATCATTGGTGAGTGTCTGACTCAAAGCTCGCAGAAAGAACTTTTATTATTACATTTATTATTACATTGTGCATGCCGCAAATTTGCATTGACTCTTGTAACGAAAAATATATTCCATGAATTATTGTCCTATATTATTGATATATATTGTTGCCACATATTGTTGCCATATATTGTTGCCATATATTGTTGCCATATATTGTTGCCGTATATTATTACCATATATTATTCCCATATACTGCCATGTATTCTCGCCATATATTATGGCCACTTGAAATCGCGCGACCAATCAAGAAAACTGAATTTATCGGTAATCGCAAAGGCGCGGCAGACGTCAGAAATGGACGTTAGCAGCCGGTCTCAGGGTTGACCGATAACAATACTATTGCTGCAATTTAACTTTAAACAACAGCGGCCTCAGATCGCAAGAAACTTTTTATCGCGGACTAATCTTTCGAACGGAATGTTCCCGAGAAGCGCTCTTGCGATAAATGGAAGTTATAAGCGAACTTCATCGATAGCATATTTAACCTTCGACATCTCCTAAAGGTCTCCTAAAGATACAGGAACGCTCTTTTGCAATATAGTTCTAAATCAACCCTACTTTGACCATAAAGCTCGACTTTCAATTTACAGTAGAAACAGAGATATTAACATCACAAGTTAAACAATTTAACTTACTATATCTCCTAAATGGTTAGAGATACAGGAACGCGCTCTTACCACAATGAAATCCTACACCAACCCTAATCTTACCATAAAATTACATTCACAATTCCCAGTAGAAGCGGAGATATTAAAGGTACAAGTTCGAAAATTTTAATCTTCGATATCTCCTAAACAGCTAGAGATACAGGCCT